CCCGTGTTTACTAAAAATACAAAAATTAGCTGGGTGTGGTGGTGGGTGCCTATAATCCCAGTTACTCGGGAGGCTGACACAGGAGAATCGCTTGAACCCGGGAGGCAGAGGTTGCAGTAAGCAGAGATGGCGCCACTGCACTCCAGCAGGGCTACAGAGCAAGACAGCGTCTCCAAAAAAACAAAAAACAACAACAAAAAAACCCTGAGATATCCAGATAAGGGGATACAGATGTGTCCACTGTCATAAATTCTTCACCACGCTACAAGAGGGGAACTGACATTTCGGTGAATCTTTGTAAATCATCAATTTATCTATCACACTTTTATTTCACCAGTAGCATTTACAAAGCTAAGTCCTACAATTCCATTTGAAATTACCCTTAAAAAGAACAGACCTTTAAAACTTACTACACTCACTCTGGGGAAGAAATAAATACAAATTTTTAGCAAATAAAATACATCATTTTACCTTGCCTCTTTGGAAATAGTATTTTTATCTTTCAAGCTGTACTGACAAAATGTATCTTATAGTCAATGAAAAACTGAAACTCAAATAAGCGGACAAGCCTTTTCAAGGTAAACTCAGGGAGAGGCAGTGCTGACCCCCACACAGACCTTTCTAAGTGTCACGGCAGGCCATTCTATCCCTCGGGACACCCATCCTGTTCAGTAAAGTACTCAGTGACCACCTAGGAGGCACTGGCACTGCTCTTTGTCCTCCTGTGTGCCTTAAGTGCATTTTAATATTCAGGTTCTTGCACATCCTCTCTGGGGTGGAATCCAGAGAGCAGAAATCGTTTCTGCCTTTTCCTCTCAATATCAGCATCCCATTGGCACACCATCAATGTGTCTCCAAGGAATAAAAACTCCAGCTGGAGGAACAATTTTAATGACCTAACTTTAATGACATTACATTGTATTGTCCATTAATTTTAATGTCCTAAAATTTGAATGACCCTAAGGGGTCACCATTTTAAATGAAACTATACCAGGAGATTCCTCTAAGGCCAAGAGCATCCAGCTGCTCCCCTGAGAGACTCTACCCCCTACCTCAGGCTGTCCTTGGGGATGCGATGACCCCAGGGCTGATACTCACTAGACCCTCCAATAGACATGGCCACTGTGGGTATCCTGGGTCATCCCCAGACAGTTCTAAAATGCCAGGACTAGGAAAAGACAGGAGGGTGGCTAAGGACACAACACCCTGTAACGTTTTCACGGGGGGACCTCAACCTAGACACTTTGGTAATACGTACACTTAGGAAAGATGAAAAGAAGAGAGGCACAAAGATTTTTTTTACAGTAGAGCGTCAATGATTTATTCTCCGCTTTCCTCTCATGTAAAATGTTTGGAAATAGAAAAATATTTTGGCCAAGGTGGCTCACACTTGTAATCCCTGCGCTTTAGCAGGCCGAGGTGGGCGATCAATTAAGGTCAGGAGTTCGAAACCAACCTAGCCAACATGGCGAAACCCTGTCTCTACTAAAAATACAAAAACTAGCGGGACATGGTGGTGGGCGCCTATAAGCCCAGCTACTTGGGAGGCTGAGGCAGGAGAATCGCTTGAACCCGGGAGTCAGAGGTTGCAGTGAGCTGAGACTGCACCATTGCACTCCAGTGTATATACGTATATATGTATATATACACGTGCGTATATGTGTGTGTATATATATGTATGGTTTGCTTCCTCATTAACCTTATCAAAGCCTCTCATTTATGCCCCTTCTGTGGACCCCAAACCACAAACCATGACTGCGGCAACCGGTTTATGAATCGCCATTTGCTCAAACACACCGTTTAACGTTTTAACAAAGCCTCAGGTTAATTTTAGGGGGAGAAAGGTGGGACTGGAAGCTCCAAGAACCACAGCTCCTCCCACACTGGAACCCCGCACACCGAGTCGGGGCTCTCCCGGATCACACTCCCGTGGTCACCGCACCACCTGGGTCGGGGAGGCGCTGGGTTCCCGAGAGGGCTTGGGCCGGCGGAAGTGGCGCCCACAGGCACAGACAGGACGCAGGGGTCCCGCTGCCCGCCCCGCCCAGCCCTGCACAAAAGGGGACTGAGGCCTGGCTGCGCCGCGGCGACTGGGTTCGCAGGTTCCGCAGCCGATGGCTGGTTCCAGCAGGTTTCAACCAGCCCTCTTCCCCACTTCGGGAAGCCAGACGCAGTCCACTCACTATTCCTCGGCTTCCCGGGTGTCCTGGCGTCAGCTAGGGATGTCCCAATACCCGCAGGTCACAGGGTGGCAGAGGCTGCTGCAGAGCCACCTGGGCCTCCCAGAGACAAGAAGCAGTAGCGGACACTAACAGAAAGAGCCTACTGTAGCGAAGGCGAAACAAAGCGCCCGCCAGCCAGATCCCGGAAGCCGCCCTCTCCTTTCCGGCGGCGCGCCTGATTGAACGGTCCCCACCCCAGCGCCCCTGATTGTATGGGGTTTCAGGCCTCACCCCCTCAGGCCCTGAGTGACAGGAGATTGCGATCTCACCTGAGGCTGGATGAGGCCAGAATGATATTTTTGGCCTAGCGGTTTGTAGGGGGTGCGTCCTTCCTGCGCTGGGATCTGACCGTGCAAGGAGGACATTCGCATTTAACCTTGTATACAAGGTTATAGCTATTTGTGCGTTATATATATATATATATAATTGCAAGCAATATAATGATAATTCTGTAACTGCCCAGTGGGTTCACCTTGCCCGCTACCTAGACAGAGCCGATTTTTCAAGACGGGGGAATAGCAATAGAGAAAGAGTAATTCATGCAGAGTCGGCTGTGCGGGAGACCGGAGTTTTTTATTTTATTTTATTTTTTTGAAACAGAGTCTTGCTCTGTAGCCCAGGCTGGAGTGCAGCCTCGGAGTTTTATGATTATTCAAATCAGTCTCCCTGAGCATTTGGGGATAAGAGTATTTAGAAAGTTTATTTTACCAAGGTTGGGGATGCTTGTGCATGACACAGCCTCAGGATGTCCTGATGACAGTTGCCCAAGGTGGTCAGAGCACAGCTTGGTTTTGTTGGAGATAAATGCTCGGTGCCACAACGTGAAACCAGCACTCAAGCGAAAAAGTTTTCTCAGCAACGCAATTTACTTCTGCAGAAGGGTGCTGCTCGCATCAATCACAATTGCAAGAGCACAGGGAACAAAGGAAAGCAGGGGTTTTTATTCCTAACGCAGTCCCCACCTCTGGCATGGGCTGGGGCCAGACTTCAAGATCTAAACTGACCCGCTTGGTTATTTGTGAATATTTTCCCAAATAAGGAAGGGGGAAGGGAGATGTGAGTTACAACGGTGAGACGTGTGGTTTCCAAGGGAGAAATGGGTGCAGAGCAGGTAACCAAGGGAACAGATGTGAGTTATTGGTTAAAACTGATGGGAAGGTTTTGTTTACAGTAACTAAGGGCAAGGATGCATGGGGAACAAGAAAGTTGAGTTCGAGAACAACAAAACAAGAACGTTAACATGCCAAACCTTGGAAGAGAAACTGACTGTATCTGACAGTTTTATACATTTTAGGGAGACAGAAGACATCAATCAACATATGTAAGATGACCACTGGTTCGATCGGGTACAACCTGAAGCAAAAGTGGGTCACCTCGAAGCCAGGAGGGGGCTTCCAGGTCACAGGTAGGTGAGAGACGAACGGTTACACTCTTCTGAGATTCTGATGAGGCTTTCCAAAGGAGGCAATAAGATATGCATTCTTCTCAGTGAGCAGGGGATGACTTTGAATAGAATGGGAGGCAGGTTTGCCCTAAGCAGTTCCCAGATTGACTTCTCCCTTTATCTTAGCGATTTGGGGGACCCAAAATATTTTCCTTTCCAATTTCCCCCTTTTGTTTTAAAAATGTTTTGGAGAAAGCATTTTAGAAGAAAATCAGTCTCTCGTGCCAGGTTTTGTCTGATTTCTCATGGAGTAGCTGGGATTACAGGCGCGACACCACACCTGGGTAATTTTTTTTTTTTTTTTTGGTAGAAACGGGGGTCTCCCTCGGTTGCCCAGGCTGGTCTCTGGTGCCCAACGCGGGGCTCCCCGTAATCTCTACAAATAATCCAGTGAAGGAACACCAGAGCGTGGAAAGCGGAGGACGACTGACAAAGGACTCCCGAGTAGGTTTTCACTTCAAGCTCTATGGTAAGTAGGGCGCTCGGAGAATTCCAGGGAAACCTCGGGAAAATATGGGTCAGGCTGAGAGTAAGTTCGCTAATTACTTAAGCCTTGTGCGGCAGTTACTGCGCCGCGAAGGGGTAATTCTGAGTACCCAAAATCTCACATCTTTGTTCCATCTGGTAGACAAGTATTCTCCTTGGTTCCCGGAATATGGAACCATGAATGTAAAAGATTGGGACAAGGTTGGATCAGACTTAAAACGAGCACAAGAAGAGGGCCGCGATATTCCCATCTCTGCTTGGTCTGTGTGGTCGGCAGTTAAAACAGCACTGGAGCCCTTCCACACTGAGGAGGAGAAGGAGGAGTTGCAGGATGACATAGGAAAGTTGAATAATCAGGAGTCTAATTATCGGCAAAGTGAACCATGACAGTCTAGTTTAAAAAGGGGCAAGAAACGGGAAGGTATGTAAGCTAATCTCCAAAAACTTGTAAAAGAAACAGTGCCACCTACTGCGCCTTTAGGGGAAGGTCTGGAATGGCCACCCCTAGGCCAGCCTTAGGAATTTTTGGAAGGGGAGCCTGAGACGAGCCGTGTGGCTCCCACTGTTGCAGGCCCCGCCAGTAACTATGGCGAAGGGAAGCTTCAGGCTTGTCCAACAGCCAATTACGATGAGGGAATGATCCAGGCTTGCCCACCTGTTAGTTATGGTAGAGGAATACTGCGAGCCGGTCCAAGCACAAATTATGGCACAGGGACAATCCAGGCATCCATTCGCCAGGCACAAGAAATGGGGGATTTGAATGCTTGACAGTTTCTGGTAATTATTTCGCCAGCTGAGGAGCCCAGAGAACTTGCTCAAGCATGTTGGGAGCCATTTCCTTTTAAAATATTAAAAGACTTAAAGCAAGCAATTGGATAATATGGGCCAAATTCTCCTTATGTTCATTCCTTGTTACAACGTGTGGCTTATAACAGACGTTGAATGCCTATGGATTGGGAGGCATTAGCCCGATCCACCCTGTTCCCCTCTGAATTTCTCCAATTGAAAACCTAGTGGACGGATGAAGCAACAAATCGGGCACGCAGAAATGCTCAAGCCCAGCGTTCCGTTAATATCACATCTGATCAATTGCTTGGAATGGGACAGGCATGGAGTACTCTAAATCAACAGATGGTAATGGGTGATGAGGCTGTCAATCAGCTCAGAACTACGTGCCTAAGAACCTGGGAAAAAATTCACGACCCTGCTGCCGCTTATCCTTCTTTTAACACAGTTCAACAGGGTCCAAGGGAGCCTTATCCAGATTCTATCGCCCGTTTGCAGGATGGGGCTCAAAAGGTTATTTCCAATTCTCATGCCAAGAAAGTGATCGTTCAGCTGCTTGCTCATGAAACTGCTAATACAGAATGTCAGGCAGCAATTAGACCTATTAAGGGAAAGGCAGATCTAAATGAGGAAAAAACTTTAAGTGAATACATTAAAGCCTGCGATGGCATTGGGGAGCACTTATATAAGGCCAGCCTCCTTATATAAGGCCAGGGGGAGAGAGGGGGATGCTTTTACTCCCCATATCGCGGGGGGTGCCTCACCCCCCTGCAATGTGGATCCTAACAGCGAGGGGGAGAGAGGGGGTTGCTATTACTCCCCATTACGATGTGGATCGTAATAATTACTCCCCCCTGAAATGTGTGTCCATTATTAGCAGTCTCTTTTGTTCAGGATATTAGGAACAATTTCACAGGTGGTGTGTACACAGCCT